ATTTTCTTATTCACTGATGGACATTTAGGTCCATGATATATTTTGGCTACTATAAATAATACATGGGAGTAAAGATAGTCTCTGACATACAGGTTTTATTTCCTTTGGATATATGCCTAGTAGTAGGATTGCTGGATTTTGTTTTGTTTCTTGAGACAGTGTCTCACTATGTGGTTCAGGTTGCCCTTAAACTCACTATGTAGCCTAGGCTGGCCTGGAATTCAAGACAATCCTCCTGCTTCTGCCTTCCGAGTGCTGGGGTTACGGGTGTGCACCACCACGCCCAGCTGCTCATCTTTTTATTTTATTTTATTTTTTCTTTGTTGTGTTTTTTTTTGGTTTTTCTCCGGTACCGGGAACCGAACTCACAACCTTGCGCTTGCCAGGCAGGCGCTTTTGCTGCTGAGCTAAATCCCCAGCCCCTGCTCATCTTTTTAATAACAGCCATTCTAACAAGTGAGATGTGGTACCTCATGATGGTTTGCATTTGCATTCCCTCATGATTAGTGATGTTGAGCTTTTTCATATAACTCTTTTCCGTTTGTATTTCTTTTTTTTTTGGTACCAGGAATTGAACTCAGGACCTTGCATTTGCCAGGCAGGGGCTGTGCCACTCACTGAGCTATACCCACGGTCTTCCATTTGTATTTCTTTTGAGATGTCTTTCAAGTCTTTTGTCTTTTTTTTTTTCTCTTTTTTCATAGTGCTGGAGGTTGAATCCCATTCTTTGCCCATTTTAAATACTGGGTTATTTGCCTTCTTACTGTCAAATTCCTTATATATTTTGGACATTAACTTTATCAGACGTGGCACAGTAACTATGTATTTATGGAGTATGCTGTGACATTTCAATACATATATGTTCTGTGTAATAATCAGATCAGGGTAACTGGCATATCTACCACATACAGTAGGACATTTATCAATCCCTTGTGTTGGGAACACTGAAAACTCTACTATTTTGAAATATTCAATTAATTTGTCAGCCCCAGATATCTTACTGTACTAACCAATTAGAAGTTATCTCTTCTGTCCAACTGTACCCCTTAGGCCCTCCATCTTTTCAATCCTTAGGGTTTATGTGTTAAAACTGGAATTATACAAACTTCCAAATCTAATGTGGTACCTTCTTTGTACAAATTTTAATAGAGTTGGCAACGAATATGATACTGAAGGCAATCACACAACTTATGAAGTCTTCTGTTCTTCCTGAACTACATATCAAAGTCAGAAATGGAAAAAAATGCAAAGTTTGAACTTCCACTCATTACATTCCTTTTTAAGGCTCAGATACATAATGCCAAGGGGAACTCGATGTGCTACTTTGATGAAAATGTAAACCAAGTATATTGCTGTGTATGTTTTAGACTGCAGGAGATATTTGTTTAACATTTATAAATTATACTCTACCTGCTTTTAAAAAATGTTTTGAAAATATAGCATCAGAAATATATTTAAGAAAGATACTACCTTTTTAAAGCATGAAAGAACCAAATGTTACTAATTACCTGTGTTATACAAATATCAGCTGATAATGACAATCAGTTCTTCAAGGGTGACAAAATTCAAGTTCAGCATCTTAACAATAATAGTTAATATTTAGCTGGCTGTTGTGACTCATGCCTGTAATCCCAGCACCCAGGAGACTGAGGCAGGAGGATCTCTGTGAGTTTCAAGTCAGCCTGGGCTGCATAAGGAGACCCTGTGTCAAATACCAGTAACAACAACAACAAAAAAAACAACCACCACGAAAAGAAAAACGTAACTAGTATATATTGTCCTCCTACTGTAAGTGTGGTATTGTGCCAAGGATTTTCTATGGATTACTTCATGTACAAGGCCACATGGCCAGTGCAGATCGGCAGTGAGCTTCTAGTGCTCACAGACTTTCCCACACTGCAACTCAATTGCAGGACACATCTTCAGTTGCCAAATCGACTTGGCTGTGATGTTCCCTGGTGCATCGCCTCAGCAGCTCCCAAATGCACCTTATCCTTCCATACCCACAGTCGCATCTCTCATCAGGACCACTAGAATCGCCACCTTTTAAATTTTTTTTCTAATTTTATTACAGCCATTCCCTAAAAATCCATATTTCTTATGTGTAGCACAGAACTGTCGCTGAGAAGTATCTAGCCAGCAAACTATTCTACTCCCAGTATGAGTATATTTCTTCCCTAGGGCCAAGTTTTCCTATTGGCTGACTTCAGGACAGGCCAGCTTTTACTACTAAATGATTTATGAAGACCTGCGGGGCTCCAGAGCTCTTGGGATGCAGGAATGAGAAGAGGTGACGGTGGCCTTTTTCCTCCATAGGAATAGCCCAAGCAAGCTGCCTTGTTTCATTTTCTGCAATTCCCGTACAGTTCCAAGGTTTTCAACCTGAGACACATGTCATGATGCCCAGGACTTCGCAAAGACACAAGATAAAGACAGTGGCTCTTTCTAACAATCAGCCGCACTCTGGTGAGTAACAGGACACATTTATATCAAGAAATGGGAGTATCTGAAGAAGAACGAAACTCATGTTTTGGGACAGGACAAGCAACTTGTTATACCGCATTGGACTAACACTGCAGACACTGAAAGTTCCCTTTCCTCTGTCCTCGGGGCGCCTGGCAGGAGGCCTGAGAAGCAGTGCGCACACACTCTGTGCCAGCCTAAGCCCACCGCCGCCTCCCCTCCTCCTAGCCAGCCCTTGGTCCCTCGCTGTGGTTGCCCTGCCCTGCCTTCGAAGCCTGGGAAGATGTTTCCAGGACTTCACATCATTAATGTGGTAACAACATCTCAGCTTTTCAAACTGATAAGCGAAATACCCTCGCGACAGCTTTTATGTTATTGATGTGTGATGACTCCGACTTCCTGTCTGCTCTTTTGCTACAGAGAATTTTGTGTTTATCTGTTCAGATTCTCTTTTCCCCTGCTGTGCCTTCAGCTATAAGAAAGATTTTTGTTTTTGCCAGATGGATTTAAAGCTTTTGGTGTTGAAGAAAAGCAAGGGATTGCTGACAAGTTAAATTGACTGACATGACGAAGAGCTAAGAGTAAAAAGCAAGAAAGGAAATGGGAGACAGAAGAGCTGGACCAGCTGCGCTGCTGAGTGGGAACTGGGCACGCTCTGTGCTGCCCTGCGTAATGCAGCTGGGAAGCCAGAGGGAGAGGCTGTGGAGTGGTTTTGCTGTGGATTAGGACTTTGCAGCTCTTCTTTGATTCCCTTCTAATTACTCTTGATCACTGGAATGTCTGTGCTTTTTTTGAATGCAATTCTGTGTGGAGACTGAGATGGCCTCAGTATCATACATGAAGGCCTATCTTGTTATACACATGTACACAGTACATATAGCCATATAGGTACACACATACATCATATGAATTATATTACAACAGCAAGCAGAAACACTGAAATGCTGCCCAGGATTTGGAGGCAGATTTATTTACGTCTAGGAGTACTGACCGGGATCCCTCCCAAAATATCAGGCCCTGACCTCTGGTGGTCCGGGGCTTATATGGGATAAGCAAGCAGGAAGTACAGAGGCAGAAGGGCTTGTCAGTTGGGGATTGGCTTATACAATGTGCATCACAGTGGCCAGCTGTTCCTAAGAGACAGGAGCAACAGGAACTGGAACAGGAACTATTTCCTGGGCAACTAAGACACTGAAGTATATTGCCTGGGGTGGGGTGGGGTGGGGCATTTTCTGCTGTAGAATAAATTATACAACATCTGACAATATATTAATTATATATTTTACAGCATGTATTACAGATTTTCCCTAAAAAATAGAACTGTTTCAAAGCCGCAGGAGTACATTATCAAGCAGCTAATGAAGGTCTGATAAGTGGGATCATTTATGCAGTGACTCAGAAAGTCCAAAAACATTTTTTCTTTTCTTTTTGTGTTGTTCTGGGGATATGAAAAAGAAGTCGGTTTGCCATTCAGTTGACCCACTGGTTTTTGTGATGTGCCTTTCAGTTTTAACTTGTTTTTGTTATTGATGTCATGTTTAAAATGCCCCTAATTAAAATGATGAAATGTCCCAGTTTCCCTGAGACAAACCTAGTTTACTATGTTTTCTGACATAATTATTAATATCATGTACTTCCACTCAAAATATCCCTGGTTTGGATGATAATCCTACCCATAAAGAACCATTAGTAAGTACAAGAAATGTAAGGAACAGTAATGTTAAAGTGTAAGCTAATAGGGAGCACTGAAATAACCTGACAAATTCTCAAGAAGATCTTCAGCAGCTTCATAAATTGCATTCTTCTGATCAAAATTATCTTACAGCAAGTGGTAAAGAAAACTGAAGAATCAGGCCAAGATGTCCAATAGTCAACTAACAACAATTCCAGAAATAAATAAATTAATTAATTAAATAAATAAGAAAGAAATAACATTTTTTAGTTTTGAAAGGAAACAATCTACATTTAAAGAACCACCAAATACTTAGCACAATAAATTTAAAGCAACAAATCAACAAAACTATTCCAAGGCATATAGGTATTTAGAACATCAGGGATACAATAAAAAAAAAAAAAAAAAAAAATACTAGGGCCGGGAATATAACTCAGTAGCACAGTGCCTGCCTGGCAAGCACAAGGTCCTGAGTTTGATTCTTGGTATAAAAAAAAAAAAAAAAAACAAACTAAAAAATTTCCAGAGAGAGCTGGGCATGGTGGTGCACCCCTGTAATCCCAGCACTCAGGAGGCTGAGGCAGGAGGATCTTTGCAAGTTTGAGACCAGCCTGGGCTACAAAGTGAGCTCAAGCCCAGCTTGAACTGCATAGCAAGACCCTGTCTCAAAGACACAGAAAACATTTTTTCCAGAGAGAAAAAAACATATGCAGATCAAGAATTGGATGATGTCTATAATCCCAGCTACTCAAAGGGCTGAGGCAGGAAAGGAAGGAGGAGGGAAAGGAGAGGGGGAAAGGGAGAGTGGAGAGAGAGATGGGGAGAGAGAGAGGGAAGGAGGGCAGGCAGGCAGGCCATAGCTCAGTGGTAGAATGCTTGCCTAGCATGTACAAGACCGTGGGCTCAATCAACAGTACAAGAAAAAAAAACAAACCATGGAACCTGAGGACATATGACTGAACTTCTTAGAGCACCTCCAGAAGTCAGTACAATATACAATCGGGTTGGCATTTTGGGCACTCCATGCGGGGCTGCAAGTTCTGACTGTGCATCCCGTGGAGGACATACAACTTTTTTTTTTGGAGACAGGGTCTCGCTATACAGTTCAGGCTGGCCTTGAACTCACTATGTAGCTTAGGCTAGCCTTGAACTCACAGAGATGCTCTTGTTTCAACCTCCCAAATACCGGGATTACACACATGAACCACCACGCGTAGCTGTAAGCATTCTCACCGCAATACAACTTCTTTCTTGACTGGTTTGGCTGTGTTCTGTTTTGTTATAGTGAGGACTGAATCCGGAGCCTTCTCACTAAGCTACATCCCCAGCTCTTTAAAACAATTTTTTTTTAAAAAAAATTTTGAGTCAGGGTCTCATTAAATCGCTAAGTATCCCAGGTGGGGCTAGACTTGCCAATCCTCCTGCTTCAACCTCCTAGAGGAGTGGGATTACAGCTATGCACCACCACACCTCGTTTAACATAACTTCTTGGTCCTACACCAAACAAAAAGTATGAAATGATTCAAACTCTGTAAGAGATCACTTGTATAAAAATGTCAGGGAAAGCCAGCCGTGGTGGCGCATGCCTGTAATCCCAGCACTGCAGGTTGAGGCAGGATGATCATCACGAGTTCGAGACCAGCCTGAGCTACAAAGTGAGCTCAAGGCCAGCTTGAACTGCATAGCAAGACCTTGTCTCAAAACAACAACAACAACAAAAAAGTTAGGAAAAGCTTCTCAACAACGTCCTTCTAGCTCAGCCTATCAATTTTGTACCCTTACTAAATTAAAAACTCGTTGTAAGATTTGCATTGGAAATACTGTTGCTTGGCAGGCATAAAGCTGATTTATATATTATTTAATCTTCTCCACATTCCCAGAATTGCAGCATATAATGATTACGTTTATCGCGAGGAGTTGGTAAAAGGCCATAACCCATCTTATTATTATTGTTCCCATTTCCCAGAGGAAGGGATGAAGTTTAAACCCCCCAGTACTAAGGGGTGGGCAGGAGCCAGGGTGCCGGCCACTCTCTCAGCCCCAGCCCCTCGCTCCTGGCCAGCGGCGGCACAGAGGGGTCGCGCTATGGTGTTGGCTCCATTGACAGTCACCGGGTCGCAAAGCAGCCGCAGCGCTCAGGCAGCCTGGGGCGGCGACACGACGTGTGGAGGAGCGGCTACTCGCGAGCGAGGCGGGGCAGCGTGGGGAACTTTCTAGCACAGAGACAATTAACAGGCAAGACACTTACGAGGCCGAACAAAGAGGAGGACGCTGGTGAGGTGGTTCAGCAGGTCCATGATCCGGTGTTTTTCCAAATAATCCCTGGCTTGAAGCTCCCTACTCTCCACCGACTCCATAGCTCAGCGTCCTGGCCGTTGCTAGGCGACCAGGCAGCGTCCAGCGCTCGATTCCGCCCCCGCCCGCCGGCGTGGTCACGTGACCGTCTCCGGCGCCGTCCCTGAGCCCGCGGTTCTCAGCTCCTCGCTGGCTTCGGTGCTGGGGGCAGGGCTGGGGGGCCTTTCCCGCGTCTTCTCCAGCGCGTCGCTCACTACATGCTGATCCAGTGGTGAGGCTTGAAGTGCTAGTCACCCGCAGTGAACTGCTCGAAGAACTTGCGTAATTCTGGGGTGCCGAGTGGAGAGTCCCAAAGGGCGCTGTTGGTGTGAGCGGCGCTGGCCCCGGCCCGGAAGGTCTCAGCCGGTTGGCTGCGGAGCTTCAGACTCTACTGCTGTACTACACTGCCTGGAGACTGTTTTGTTGCTTTTTACTTTCCTTTTAAAAATTTTTATTTTCACCAGTACATTCCTCGTGGGGAGTTAGTACGGGTACATAACACATCTTTTCATTTCCCTACCCCCTCCCTCGCTGCCCCTCCCCCTCCCTCCATCTCTCGGTTCCCCTCCCATTTGCAAAAGATCTGTCTCCTTATTTCTTATTGTCTTTAATTTTGCTCTTTATTTATATTTTGGTTTTTTCATATAAGAAAAGCCAGGCAATACTTAAGCTTGTGTGTCTGATATATTTCATGTAACATTATGGTGTCCAGGTGCATGCATTTTTCCCTCAAACTAAAGTTTATCCTTTAATGCAAAGTAGTACTCTACTGTGTATAAGTACCACATTTTCTTTCATCTGTTGATGCACATATAGACCACTTCCAAGAGTTAGCGCTTATGCTGCTATAAACTTGGGTATGCATGTTATCAGTGTAATGTGTCTTTTAATTCTATTGGAAAGATACCTAGAAGGGGAAGAGCAGGGTCTAATGGAATTTCTAGATTTTTGTTTATTTTGTTTTGGGTTTCACTATGTAGCCCAGACTGGCCTGTCAAACTCATGGCGATCCTCCTGCTTCAGCCTCCCAAATGCTAGGATTATAGGTGTGCACCACCACAACCAGCCAGGTTATGATTTTTTTATATAGATTTCATAAAATTTTTAAACCTCACAATTTAATAAAAATAATTTCCCAGCATTTAAAAAACAGAGGGTAATAAGAGGACCTGCAGCATCAATGCCAGGAGGTGGAACCACATCTGAAATAGAAAGTAGCCAAGGCGGAGGACATAGTGGGGACTAGATCTGCCGTGAGATTGCAAGCTAGAAAAGTCCTCTTTGGATGAGTGACCCGAGTACCTGGGAGAGCTAGGTGCTTAGTTAACGACCGGCTCCCTGGTATTCCCTGAGCAATGAGGAGGGTGACTTCTCATTCTCAAATTCCGGAGGAGGTGTTCCACGAAGGGAAGGTGCCTGCTCTGTAAGGCTGGCCTGGGTTTGTGAAACGGGGTCTCCTCTAAGAGTATGGGGGGCAGTACTTGGCTGCTTTTCAGCCAAGTTGATAAAAATCCCCCGGATCCTTTGTAAGCAGATATGGGAGCTACACGGGCAAGGGCATGTCGGCTCATCTCTGTCATTCGAACCTCTCTCACAGAGGCATGGCTGACAATCTGCGTGACCTGGTGACACAGCTAAATGGAACCTGGGGAACCCTTACCCCGCGTTCCTCATGGACTCCAGGAGAGTTTGAGAAGCACTGGCGAGGGTATTACTCTTCAGAGATTTTGGGTCCTCCGCTCTGGGGACTTGCTGAATGTCCCCTGGTGGGAGGGACAGAGAAGCACCATCAGGAAAGCCTTCACCTTATGCACATGACCCTTCAGGTTGACCAAATGGCCTGGGAAGGGGACTGTGGCCCTTCCTGGAGGTCAGTGCATCAAGGGCCAGATGCAGGCCACAGGGGTGAGAAACGGGGGGAGCCTGTGAAGGGGACAGGGACCTGGGGAGAGGTCCCAAGTCACACAGTAAAGGAGGCCTGGTTTGCAGTGTTTTGCCCAGGTGTCCTTTGACGGGCCCAAGCTGGTGTGTGGGGAAAGCTAAGGGAACAGAAGCAACCTTCCTTCGTGCGGGAGGCCAGGTTGGCCTGGTCCGCTTCACCTCACTGCCCTTCAGGCGTCAGCCCCTAACGAACAGCACTGCCCGCTGTGCTGCAGAACCTGCAGTAGCCCTGGCGCTGCTGTCCGCTGTCAGCTAGGTTCCTCGGTCTCCCGAGCCAGGCTAAGGAGAGTGCAAGGGCCCTGCGCACATCTTCCCCAGGTGCTGGTTGTTTCTGTCCCTACAAATCTGCGTGCCTTTTGTCCCTGAAGGAAGGACCTGGCCTGCTCTCTCTCACGGGTCTGGGACACTGCCCTGAATCTCCACTGCCCCGGAAAATCCCGTTAAAGTGTCCAGATGCCACCTAGTGGAGTCCAGTGTTTCTCTGTCACTGCTGGGCTTCACTCTCCACTCCAGGGCGTCTTGCTGGACTCCCCTCTTCCACCTCGTCCTCCCTCTTTCCAGTGTTCCAAAGCCTAGTGGTGGTTGGCAGAGAGTAACTCTGTACAGAAGGTGGGCACGCAGGATGCTCAGCTAGGGGTGCACAGTGCCGGTCCATCGGGAAGCACGGATGCTAGGTGCCCACTGCGCGCCTCGAACAGTGAATCTCTTATGATGGAGCCTGGACCCTAGGGGCTTCGTTGCTACTGCTGCTTTAACAGCTTTATTGAAGTATAATTAATATTTAATATACTGCACTTTTGCAAGTGTATTGTTTGATACGCTTTGATGTATGTATGGAGCCAGGGAAAGCACAGCAAGATAATGAACACAGCCATCCCTAACCTTGCTTCCCCCTCCATCCCAGGCAGCCAAGCATGGCTCTCCATGACTGCACGTTAGCTTGCTGTTTGTGGCATTTTACATAATTGGAATACTGTTGTTGGTATCTGAAGTTGGTTATATAATTGGAAACATATAGTATGTACTCTTTTGGCCTGGCTTTTTCCAGGCCAACATCATTTTTTTTTTTTTTTTTTGAGATTCACTTGTGTTACTACATATATCAATATTTCATTTTTAAAAAATTTCCTTGGTTGTTATTGGTGAATAGTATTCTGTTCTGTGAATGTACCACAGTCTGATGTCCATTCATCTGTTGCTGGACTTTGAAGTTGTTTCAGTTTGGGGCTATTACAAATAAAGCTGCTAAAGCTGGGCGTGGTGGTGCAAGCCTGTAATTCCAGCACTGGGGAGGCTGAAGCAGGAGGATCTTTGAGAGTTCAAGGCCAGCCTGGGCTACAAAGTGAACTCAAGGCCAGCCTGAACTGTAGAGTGAGATCCTCTCTCAAAAACACCCAAAAAAACAAAACAAACAAAGCTGCTATGAACATTCATGTAAAGATCTTCTTTGCTTTTTTTTTTTTTTTCAGACAGGCTCTCACTGTGTTGTTTAGAATGGTTTGGAACTCACTATGTAGCCCAGGCTGGTCTTGAAGTCACAGCTATCCTCATTGCTTCAGTCTTCTGAGTGTTGGGATTGCAGGTGTATGAAGGTATTTAAAGTCCCCTACATGATTCTAGGGGACAGCTGAACTGAGACCTGCATGGCAGCAACTGCGTGGGCTGCGTTGGGGGCTGGGAAGGATGGGTCAGGGTTCACCCTGTCTGGGAAGGCCCAGCTCATGCTTGGTACAGATTAGTGTCATTCTCACCCAGTATTCACTGGCTCCTGGTGAGCCTTTGTGCATGTGTCTGCCCATCTGTCCCCAGAAAGTCATAAATTTGTTCTGGGCTAGAAAGTCCAGGGCTGTGTCAGCTACCACAATTTATTACCACTCCCTGGATGTTCTAAAGCACAGAGTATCAACCATCCTGGCTGAGCAGGAAACTCATAGTGATAAACACCCTAGTAAGTCGGAACATTTGTTCACCCTATTCCTGAACCACTAGCATAAAAAGCTTGGGCTTTGGCATCAGGTCATCTTGTCACTCTGACTGTCAACCCTGGAGTTATAGCTCAGAGTGTGGGGGGGCGCCAGGGGAGCAAGTGTGCAAAGGGCAGAGTGGAAGACTTGAGTGGCAGAAGAGACAGCGGCTGATCTCCTCCCTGTGTTCCATTTCAGGCAGGAACAAGTCAGAGACGCTTCAGCTTGGTTGCTATGCAGGAGAAGGGGCTTGGGATGCAGCTCTGTGGTAGAATGCTTTTGAGTGTTGGGATTACACATGGATGAGGCTCTGGTTTGATTCTCAGTGCTGGAAAAAAATATGGAGGGGAAAAAAATAAAAGGGCAATTTTTCTGAGAAAATAGTGGGGCAAGGTAGTAGAGTAGTACAGTGGCGTCTGGAACCAAACTTTATCACATCAAACCTGTTTTCCTATTGACCATTAATAATTGGATGACCTCGGACAAACACTTGAATTCTCTGGCTTGACTTCCTCAAGGATACGATGGGGAGAGAATGTACCTACCTCATGGGGAATGTCTTGAGGACTGAATGAACTAATAATATATGCAAAGCTCTTCAAATGGCGCTACATTTGCGCTGTTTGTTGCTAAGGAAAAAAGTGTGACTCAATAGAGTCTCAGTAGCCTCTGTCCCTAGATTGTGCCGCTTGGTTTCCTGTGAAAGTTATTGGGTGGGGAAGGCTACTGCATTTCAGGTTTCACACTGCACCTTCTAAAAACCACAGACTCCGGGGAAGAAGGGAAGGTAATAATTATATGTGTAACATCTTAGGTGAATTATAAGGGAGACAGAAAGTTTGGAACTTAAACATTTCATTATCGCTAGGTTGTTTTATTGGTGAGCAGCATTTTTAGAGATTTCTTTGGGTCTCATTTTATTTTATTATTATTATTATTTTTTGTTTGTTTTGTTTTTGTTTTTTCTCCGGTACCGGGAACCGAACTCAGGACCTTGCACTTGCCAGGCAAGCGCTTTTGCTGCTGAGCTAAATCCCCAGCCACTCATTTTATTTTTGAAATGTAACAGCACACAGCCTAATAGTGACTCCACATCTGTCTTTGCATGATGTACGGCTCAACAGCATGGTTTTAACTTTAAAACCAGGATTTTACAAGTCTAC